CTGAATCCAACCCCCGCACCCCCAAGGTCCCAAAGTGATTTGGATGGATGTTAACACACATGATTTGAGTGCACATTAAAGTTGAAGAAGCACTGGAGGAGACTGAATTCGAATAGAAAAGATTAGAGTCTATGTTATGTAGGAAAAGTAAGTATTGTTTTGAAAAACTCTTAGTTAGACGTATACTCTAGATGAACATATGAGTATATTCATGAGAGTATTACGTTGCAGCCTAAAAATGACTTATTATTGTGTGTTAGTTTTCAAGATATTTCATATCTTGAAAACTATTAATCTAGAGGCATTGTTGGTGTGACATGTGATGTATGCTGGGGTGTTTTCTCACAATGTGCCACGATTGAATTCAAAACTGTCTGTTGATGACTAGTTTGCCTAGTGCTGGGCTAAGTTCACCGAGAGAGGGAGGATGGATGGGATCACAATGCCATTGTGGTCCCTGGCCTTAAACAGTTTATAGTTTTGTTTGGATGATAAAATGGTTACAAAAGCAATTAGAGAAAAACTGTACTATATGGACACTTCAAAAAGTCTATTGAAATATAGAATTAAAGGATAATTTTTTTTCCTTAATAAGACTAAATTCATTCAATACCCTAGTAGAAGTTTTGATTACAGGTATTCAATAGTATAAAAAGTACAAAACAGATTTGTAGATTTCCAATATATTAATATAGAGTGCATGACTACATAAAGTAAATCTTATAAGCAAAGGGAGGTGGAGGAGGGGAAAGCATAGAAATTTCTTTCCCGAAGTAGTATAAAACAATTGGGACCGGCAGTTGGCATAATGGCTGTCTCTGGCTTTCCATGTAGCCAACCATGTTTCGAGTCCCAGACTCGGTGGATTAAACTCACGCCAGGCGCATGTGCGTGTATGCCCAAGATCTTGAGAGTAGAATGGAGGAGAAGAGATTGCAGTGTGGCCATCCCCCCTGGGGGGTGATTTTTTGCTTCCTGTTTCTCTGTCTTTCTTTGTCTTTCTGGCAAGTGTATGTGCCCTATAGCAAAAACCTCTCATAAAAACATACACACACACACACACACACACACACACACACACACACACACACACATATGAGGAATTACACACTTTACAAAAGACTCAAACGGAACTGCTAGAGATGAAATCTATAATACAAGAAGTAAAAACCTCCCTTGAAAGTATTAAAAGCAGACTAGATCATTCAGAAAATAGAATCTCAGATGTAGAAGAGAAAATGGCTGGCCTAGAAAAATCCACCACAAAGACTGAGAAAATGGCCCAAAAATTTGAGAATAATATGCGAGAAGTACTGGATACCATCAAACGTCCAAATATACGGATAATTGGCATTCCAGAAGGTGAAGAGACCCATAAGGGCATTGATAATCTATTCCACAAAATCCTGCAAGAAAACTTTCCAAACCTAGAGAGGCATTCAAAGATCCAGTCCCAGGAAATACAAAGGACCCCAAAGAGAATCAACCCAAGAAGATCTTCTCCAAGACACATTATAGCCTGGTTGACCAAAACCATAGACAAAGACAAGATACTAAGATTGGCAAGAGAAAAACATCAAGTTACCTACAAAGGACATCCCATCAGGCTAACAGCAGATCTCTCATCAGAAACAATGCGAGCAAGGAGAGAATGGGAAAATATATTCAAAGTGTTAAGAGAGAAGCAATTTCAGCCAAGAATACTGTACCTGGCAAGATTATCTTTCAGGTGGGAAGTGTGTTGGATAAGAACCTCCCAAAGTGGCCTATATAGATAATCCCGCAACATATTTTCTGTCTTTTCCAGTATGTAAGGTCTAAGATGGAAAAACTGGTGCTCTGTTGGAGCCAGACACCATCTCTGTATCTCAGCCATCTTCTGATTGGTGACTGTTAACAAGGATGCACTTGAGGTAGTACTGTGAGCATCAGCATTGTGATGTTTAAATTTCTTCTGGAGTTTACTGCTCTGGTTGCTTTTTATCCTCTTTCCAGAAAGAGTTTTCATTTTCTCTGGTTTCAACGTAGTCTTTAGACTGGATCTTGCCCTTGCATCTACCACGTGATTGCAGCTTATTTTTGATTCTGCTGGCAACTTCTTCCATCTTTTCACAAGCAGGACACAGGTATTGCAGACATCTCTGGAATGGGTTTCATGCAACCCAAAACAGCTCTGGAAGTTCTTTTTGTAGTGTTCTCTGTCAGTGAATCGAGAACTGGAGGACTTTACTCTGCTAATACAGCAACCCTCTATACTTCGGTACAGC